CGGATATGTCCATTGTCTGTCTACTGAGCTTCATCTAACAAGTGATGAAACAGAAGCTGTAAGAATATCGGAATTTCATTCAGGACTGCTCTTTGGACTGTACAAAAGAATTTGAAAGATTTATTGATGACTTGCAAACTTGTATATATAAAGCATTCCCAGAAAAAGTACTGCCTAGTAGATGTGATTTGACATACAATGCAAACTGGTATAATAATGACCTGAGTAATATGAGAGAACATTTACTGTACCTAAATTCTTTGTACAACAAAAAAAAATCTGTTTGCATGAAAAAAGACTAAACAGTTTTAAGAAAAAAATATAAACACAAAATAAATGCAGCGAGAAAAAATATAACCAACAAATCATTAAAAGATCTAACAACCCAATGAAGACTATGTGGGAAATTGTTAGAAAAAACAAAAATACAAGCAATGGTATGAATACGTCAAAAGAACCAAATGAATTCAACAACTTTTTTTGTACTGTTGCGAATAAACTGTTAGAAAACTTAGATGAAGGTGAGCTACATGCAGAAAGTAATATACTTCCACCAATGCGCTACTTCAACTTTGAGAAGTTATCATTTAATGATGTCAATTATCTTAAAAGAAAGAACTCTAAAGATATTTATGATATGAGCAGTCTTTTAATAAAAATGATCAAAAATCAGATCATAATGCCTCTAACCAAATTAATGAATATTTGCGTTGAAAGTAACGTATTTGCAGTTGTAATACCGGTTTTTAAAACTGGCGATACTGACGATATTGCAAACTATCGCCCAATATCATTACTTCCTGTTCTCAGCAACATTTACGAAAATTGCTTGATGAAACAAATCGTCTTACATTTTGAAACTGATAGCATGTTCTATTTGAACTAGTTTGGATTTCGATGTCAAAAAAAAACACAACCTTCGTAGTTTTGAAGTTGGTCGATGACATAGTTGACGCTTTTGAAGAAAAAGAATTCTTGCAGACCATCTTCTGTGATTTGAGCAAGGACTGTGCATCACATACCACCTTAATCAGAAAGCTCAGAATATATAACGTCGAAACAGCCTCTTGCAACCTAATCGATGCGTATTTAAGAAATGGAAAACAATTGATAAAAATCAGAAATAACACGTCACATGAAAAATGCATTGAACACGGTGTACCCCAGGGTTCATTACTTGGGCCACTTTTATTTCTGATATATATATATATATATATCACATAGACAAGAAATTGAAATGGGACATATGCATTGATGAAAGAGCAAAAGTTAAGAAAAAGCATTTAGTTACTTATAAGCTTATCGTGTGTGTTAAATAGTGATACATTGAAGTCAGTTTATTTTGCTCTATACCACTCTTTGATATCATATGGTATCTTAGTTTAGGGTCAGACTGGCATCGACTATTCTCTTTACATAGGCGGGCAATTAGGATATTGTATTCACTGGAGTATACTGACGATTGCTAACTAGCATTGAACAAATCGATGATACTCACATTGCCTTCAATATATGCTTATGAAGCACTGATGTATGCTTAACAGTATTTAAATTGTCAGGAAGTTTAAAAATTACAGCACCCAGAAGTTTCCTTGCTGAAAATGTTTTTTATTCATACCATAAGTTCTTGGACTTTAAATTTTGATATGTGCTATATCTCTTATTGCTTATTGAATTGTTTTCTTCATTTTACTGTACCATTTTATACCCACAATTAAGTTTTTACATAATTCTTAAACACTCATACACATTTGTCATCTAAGTGGATTTTGAGATTATTATCTATGTATACTATACAATTGTGTTACAGACTGACGTGTGCAAGTACTGTATGTACACTAACACTGAATAAAATACTTCTCCTAATAAACAACCCTGTATAAGTTAGTTTTTTGTTGATGACTGGAGCTTGCTAGATCTAGATTTGCCAAACAGCATTATCACAATTAAGTAAATCTCAATGAAACAGTATTTTAGATATAAATAGGACTACAGTCGTTAAGATTTCCAATGTCAATACTCTTAAAAATATGATGAGAAACGTTTTAACGGTCCAAACTTATTTGTTTGGATGTTATAGGACATGCACAACCATGGCACTCATTTGAAATGTACCAACCGAATTTCGATGATTTTTGTTTACAATGTTACTGCTATGCCAAGGATGCAAAAGCTTTGTAGTTTGGTCAAGTCGTACAATCACGTGGAGTGTATAAATAATTTCAAATTAGAAATTCGATTATAAAAAAAACTATACCTTTTTTAAAACCTAGTTTACTTACGAAACTTTTGTGATTTATTGCCTTTCCAACGACATGCTACACATCATAGAAATAATATGTTGTGCGGTCAGAAGAGAACAGTTGATTAGGTCCAGGAACAAAGAATTTTTTGTTTCCTTATTTCATATTTTGATTTCATAAGAACAAGCTCCAGCGTATTTTCGAAATGGCTGCTTCCATTTCTGAGGCATGCCCTATATCTCGTTCGGATTTGATCGGTTGTCATCCGAAGCCGCATCTCTTCTTTCATCAGTTGAAATGCCGCTTCTATCTTCTGGATTAACACCTCTCTACTAGGCACCTCTGTCGTATGCACTAATTTCTTCGCTCGCCCGTAGACTTAAAAGTCCAAAGGTCTGAGGTCTGGAGACCGTGGAGGCGATGGAATAGGACCACCCCTACCAATCCACGCGTTTGGGAATTAATCGTCCAAGAACTCTCGAATGGGTTGTACATAATGTGCAGGGCAGACGTCATACTGGAGAACAATGGGAGCATCGGGTAAAATTGCTAACAGCAAATCAGGCAACTCAGTCTGCAGGAACTCCAGATAATTCTGTCCATTTAACCGGCTTGTCAAATAATACAGTCCTATCAGTGTTCGCCCAATGACGCCCGCCCACACGTTGTCGCTAAATCGTTTTTGAAATGAGACCTGCCTTCTCTTGTGTGGGTTCTGGCCCAGGTCTGCCCCAATGATGGAGGCTGTGTAGATTTACGATTCCGGAGCGGCTGAAGTCGGACTCATCCGTCCACAAGAAAATCTTCATTCTACACATTGGTATGAAGAATAAATCGAGAGAACTCTAGCCTTCCAGACCTATAACATATGCCAACGTTTTGTACAAATATCAAACTTGTTTAAATAAAATACACCACATAACAAAAAATTAAATTACCTTGAACAATAATGAAATGGATGCTTCCTGTGAGTCTGTAAAACAGACCTGACTTTATACGCAAACACTGCAAGTCTTTCGGCAACAACTCGAATACTTATGGTAGGGTCCGCATCAAATGCTCTTAGGATATGATCATGTACAGTCACACTGTAAGCGGCGATACGTTGTTGCGAAGATCTCGTGATATTGTAACTGCCGATCAGGATACCGCTGCTGGTAAAGTCGTTGGGCTTTACGTGAATTGCACTTAGCACTGCCATAAGCCAGCAAGATATCAACATATTCCTGGTTAGTGAAATTCGGCATTATGACCACAATGAGTCAAACACAACAACCACAACAGTTCAAACTTACAATAAAACATGAAAACATTACAAAAAAAAACGAATTAACAACATCAAATGGAAACACACTTCTGATAGCAGAGAGAATCAAATCTCGAATGATCCTAATCTGGTAATGAACTCTTTTATCTATGATAGGGTAGTAATTTCAAAGCAATTAACAGGCAAGATCAGGAATGCCCCACATCAAAGTTTATGACAATGATAATTCATGGTAGGGGTTTATGAAAACTTGTAACAATCAGTTTTAAATCACTTAATTGAGTATTATGGTAGTCAGGAGATGAAGTTAATCCAGGTATCGGATGTCATTAGATTCGAATCATCTTACGTAAGAGGTATTCCTAACCCGATCTTTTTACTGCTCTGCACTCGCTAACAGTATTGACCTCATCAAGTGGAGGTAGGCATTTTGAAGAGTTTGTAACTAATTCAAATTGAATACAAACTGGAAAAATTGTACAAAATCGGATTTCGAACTTGAAGTTATGTATACACTCCACGTGATTGTACGACTTTGGAAGGTCAAAATTCATTTGTTTGAGAAGATTTGCACAAACTTTACATCTCGTCTGATTGAGGATACAATACAGAATAGACTCACGTTTATTTTGTGTCATTATCTCCAGAAACAAAAAAGTTGTAACGATATTTATGTACAATTGTATGTAATTCAGCAAAAAACGAGAAACGATCACATCTCGGTAACCCTTAGAGCCCTTAGAGCATTGCGGTTTCCATCAAAAATCATCAAGTAGCGTCCGCAATCGCCCAAAAAAATGTTTTGGTTCATGAACGAAACACTCTAACCATATTAACACGATGCTTAAGTTTTTGGTTCATAAGCATTTGAGCGAAGATTAGTCTTTTGGAGCAGAATGAATATAATACAAGTCACATTTTTTTAATCAATATTATACTTCAGATCAGAGCGGTCAACTGTTATGACTTCTCCTACACATTTTACAAATATTCTGGCATATCTAGTTGGCTCTTTATGAACGCAACAAATTAGGTAGCTTAGAGAGGTCCATTTTTAATGAGATTAATATACTGTAGAGATTACGGAAAGTTAGATACAATAATTATTTCAAAATATAAAATCTGGTTATCATACTGCCATGATAAAATTAACAGAACACATTCTGAAACTATTCACCTAGGTGGTTTTGCTTTTTGTCATTATTTAAATATGTACAATCAACCAAATAAATCAGTCATATGATGTTGCCTAGCTATATGCTGTTCCACTGTAAATGATGGTCCTGGACTGTGAGAAATTCATTATTGGCAATAGCTGAATGATTTTCTTCCGTAATTTCCAGAAAAGTCGTAGTCTAGGAAGTTGAGCTACCCTTGATAAAGTATACTTGTTAGGTGCACTTTGCTCTGCTACTTCAAAAAGGCCGACTAAGTATTTGCTTAACGGCTTTACTATTTAAGTCATGATAAAGATACTTTGATTTCCTTACTTGTGCCAGGAACTCCAATGTTCACTGTTGTCCTCCACGATGTCGGCTCCTCCAGTAGGCATCGTCATGTGAGATAAAATAGATGTGAAGATAGCTCCTAAGGGCCAAAATGAATGGAGGACTCCGGCATAGCGTGATCTGGTCGAACGGGAACAAGTCTCGGTCAAATATGAAAAGGTCAAAGGAAATGCTCCAGATACGCCCAGCCCAGAACAAAACCTGTAAGTTATTTTTTTTATATACAACTTAGAATGCTCGCTCTGCCCTCGTATTTTCATCTACCGTGATGATTTTACATAACTTTATGTTATTGGGATACTGATACTTAAATAAGCTGCAGAAGACTCGATTGGGAATGGAAAAAATGTACGGTATATAGGGTTGTTAGTAACCGTATAATTCTATAAACAAATAACAAATCGTTTAAGTCACAGTCACAATCAGTAATAATTGGATAACTAAATTCTAGTAAGAATCATAGTCGTGATACGATGTATATGGACACTGGTACCAATCTTTATTAGCATCCTGAAGCCGACAATATTTAAGTAATTATCACATCTCTTTTTGGCCTGTTTCCCTTTGAGGATCTACTTTGGCGGGTAATATTACTGAGTTTGACGTTTTGAGTTTTTGTGCCTTTAAGCTACATTTACTAACTTACAAACAGAAACTGAAATTTTGAAGTTGAAGAGAAATAAATAACTGTATCCTGATTCTAGCGTCCAATATGTATGTTAGAAATAATGCGTCAATGGCATCCGTGACCTCGTCATCCGGGTAGCTAGGCCACGAGGTACTTCTAGTGGTATTTGGTTTTCAGTGTATGATACGGTATGATAAATACATTTGACACTACAGTGATCCTTTCCATACAGTTAGGATCACGTGCCGAAATTATCATGATAAATCATAGGTATGACGGCAAAATGGCATTGATTATAATTCAGCTTCTCAAAGTCACTTTGTTGAATCTAAACCTTCTTAGGCGAACATGCATGCAGTATCTGATACAATTTTGAGGAAACCGCAATCGGGGTTTCAAACAAACCTTAACCCGTATCAATAATCCAAAGTTTTTCGCAGTGTTATATTACCTTGCCGTCATGAAAGTGCCATACGTTGGCATAACTGAAGCAACAGCTGAGAATAAAGCTGCGACCGCCAGTGCGCTTATCAAAGCTCGTCGTCTTCCTAAGTGATCTCCTAAAATCCCCCACGCCAAGGATCCTCCGGCCATGGCGAGTAATGTAATTGATACTAGAAGAAAATCATATGTGTAGAATAAGCTTGGCAGTGTTTTCACATTGTTTCGTTAATTAGAGAATTATTAAAGGAATTATAAGAACAAATATTTATACTTATGGTTACATATACAGGGTGTTCCATAATTATTGCGACAAAATGATAGGGGTTGTAGAGGGCATCAAAATGAACAATTTTGCCTTATAAACCCCTGTTCGGAAATATGCCGTTTGGGATGCAGCAAAAAAAAAAGATCAGTTTCTTGAAACAGCTTACCTACAGTAATTGCTCAAAGTGTCCTCCACCTTGCTCAATACACAGCTGTGCACGATTGTTCAATGATCGGCGAACTCTGTGGCATACCCCCGGTTTGTCCTGAACATGTGCGGACGCGGCCATCACTCTTCCCAGTAGCTCTTGTTGGTTGGGAACAGTAGTTTCGTACACTAAAGCTTTCAGATGGCCCCAGAGAAAATAATCCAGTGGGGTCAGGTCGGGTGACCGCGCAGGCCAAGGCACAGGGCCACCTCGGCCTATCCACCTATTTGTCGTCCAAATACTGCCGCACTTGTAAAGAAAAGTGGGCTGGAGCGCCATCGTGTTGAAACCACGTGTTGGCTCTTATGTTCAGTGGCACATTTTCTAATAGTTCCGGTAGCACATGCTGTAAGAATCGACCATAAGCATGCCCATCCAAACGTGGTGGAAGCAAATATGGCCCGATGATATGCTCGTCCACAATGCCGCACCAGATGTTAATTGAAAACTATGTTGGTCTCTATGGATGGCTATGGCATGAGGGTTTTCTTCATCCCAAATGTGACTGTTACGGCTATTAAAATAACCGTCCTTTGTGAAACAGGACTCGTCAGTGAAAAAAACGTAGCGACCAAAGTTTGGTTGCCTCAACTCCTGCTGCAGCATTTCATGTGCAATAGCACGCACGCTTGTACGCGGATTGGCCTCTAGTTTGACGCACCACTCAGATAAATTAAATGAATCGGTGTGGAGAATTTACGATAACAAAAATGTAAACACAGCAGGCTTTTTTTTACAAATCGGCGAGACCATGAAATGTGCTAGACGAACATTTTGCAGCTGTTGAATGTTTTGTTTCTCTTAAGGTAAAATTAGCGGTAGTGCTCAAACGGCATATTTACGAACAGGGGTTTATAAGGCAAAATTGCATATTTTTATGCCCTCTACAACCCCTATCATTTTGTCGCAATAATTATGGAACACCCTGTATATATATATATATATATATATATATAACTTGAGACGTGGTCACTGTCGTCTAGACCAGTTAGGTGAAAAATTAAAGCTTCCGCCTTTTGTTGGGTACTTCGACAAAATTTAAGCAAAGAGGACTCTTTATACTTTTTTAATTCTCTCTAGCTTTCAATGGACTTTGCCATCATCATCAGGAGAGTAGTATGTGAGGCTGTTGCTAATTGTTGTTTACGTATAGGATGAGGGAAACGTCCAGTAACATGGTGAGAGCTGGATAGATAGTACAATGGTCAAAATTATATAAAATATGACAAGAACAAGTTAAAAACAGATTAAAAATTATTTAAAAACATTAAAGCATTACTTCGTGCAATCATCAAGTGGCTTCACGATGTAATGCTTTGATGTTTTTAAATAATTTTTAATCTGTTTTTAACTTGTTCTTGTCATATTTTATATAATTTTGACCATTGTACCATCTATCCAGCTCTCACCATGTTACTGGACGTTTCCCTCATCCTATACGTAAACAACAATTAGCAACATCCTCACATACTACTCTCCTGATGATGATGGCAAAGTCCATTGAAAGCTAGAGAGAATTAAAAAAGTATAAAGAGTCCTCTTTGCTTAAATTTTGTCGAAGTACCCAACAAAACGCGGAAGCTTTAATTTTTCACCTATATATATATATATAAGATATGCAGCATTTTATAAGAGCTGCATAAAATATCTGATCTGAAAAGGGATGGGATGGTACAAAGAATACAGAGTTACCAGTAAACGAGCCACTCCATCAATAGAATAGATTCTGCCTCGGTGGCTGAGATGATACCTCTCATGGCTGAAATGCTACCTACCATTTCGATGCGATCATCCATTCGTTATCTTCGATAATAGTCCAGGAAGTATCTTCACATCTGCTCAGAAAAAGTATTCCGATTAGATTTTTTAATAACCTTAATAAAGAACAAAATCGACTTTTTGACACAATTTTAGGTCTGGCAACATGCAGATTCATTTTTTGAACGAGATTATGCGAGAAAACAGTCCAAATATTTGTCTAACAAGATGCGAATATACTTCCTGTACTATAACTACGCATACCGTGGGAAGTGGATCGCGTGCTGTTGAATGTGTACAGGGCAATTCACTATGCTTTTACCATACGTCCATGTTTCACCTTCCAGCATGTTATATGACATCTAGTCATCGAGTTTTTGATACTAATCGAACATCTCCCAAATAAGTTATATCATGGTCTGAGACACGTAAAATACGCCACTGTAAACGCCTATACAGGGTGACTTCGAAGTTGAGTCATTTATTTTAACAGTGAGTAGATCTGATCAAAAGAAATGTTTTTTTCCTTCAACATTTTTGTGGTAAAATTAAAGTAACAAAGTTATATCCCTTTAGAAGTTTGAGTACCGCCCTGTCTCAATAATAATATTATGTGCTCGTGTTTGGCAACAACGGATATACTCCGCCTTATCGGTTCATCGCATCGGAAACAAAAAAGCGAAATAATTTGAAACGCTGATCACGATGTTTTTATTCAGTCAATGTGTTAGTCGGTAACGCGTGAGTGAACCGAAATAGAAAATGGCACATATTTATTTTCCCAATCGAGTGCAACCAACCCCTCGTGCCTTTGTTAATGTAGTACAACGGGCTCGTGAATCAGGTGACTTAAGACCTCACAGGGGAGGGCATGCCGGTGCTCAAAGACCTCACGATCAAATACAGGTCCGCACTGAAATACTTGTCGGGAGGATACTTTATAAAACAAGGTAAACAATTTTTTTTATTTTTTTTTATTTTTACACACATATTTCGGTTTATCTTCCTTCTACAATCATTATCTGAAAATTAATGACTCAACTTCAAAGTAGTAATTACGTCTTGATATTCATGTAGACCAGTGTTTCCCATAATGCGATACGTGTACCAAGGGTACGCGAAGAGCTTGAAGGGGGTACGCGGCCAGTGCTACAGGCTCAGATTTTCTGAAACAGGCAGATGAGACCACTAAAACTAAAACAAGAATGTTTAGCGTAGAAAATATTCATTTAACATTAAAACACAATCAATGCCTGAAGGTTTGTCTCATGCGGAAAAAGAACAGTTGTTCGAACGGGCTTCTGACGGATACTCAAAAAATAAACATAGTGTGTATAGCTTAACATCATTTTGGCTACAAATGCAAAATGTGTGCTTGCTTTAACAGAATAAGTTTTGAAATAAATCTTGCCTTTTCCAACTTCATGTTTATGTGAAGTTGCTGTTTCAACACTTGTAGACATTACGTAAAAAAAAGAAAATGCTATTAGACGTAGAATCTGAACTCAGGTTAAAATTGACGTCCAGGGAACTATTATGACAACCTCATCGCATCCCAACACAATCAATTTCCATGCTTTGCAAATGAAAATTTATTAGGGGAAGAAGATCACTATGACGTTGATGACCCCGACTGGCAACCTAAGGAAGATGATGTTGCGATAGATGAAGAAGCCGAAGAACTTCCAAATGATAGCAGGCATGAGACTGAGCAGGGACAAAATGAACAGGCAAATAAAAATCGGCGATCTCGAGGAAAAGTCGCACATCCTGATTATTGGGAAAAAAATAAATGCAAAAAAGGACGAATGCTAGGTAAAGAATATTTGGGATACTCAAAAATTGATGGATTTGTTAAACATAATGTTGAAAGGTCTCAGAGAAAATTGAAGGAAGGTTGCAATAAATCTCTAAAGAGAAACTGCAATTTGTTCACAACCGAGAAGCGTGAGGAAATTTTTCAACTTTTCTGGGATATGGATTGGTCCCAGAAAAAAATGTATGTGCGAAATTTAGTAGTTTATGAGCCAAAAAGACATGCTATGTTAATGGTGCATCTAGAAGGCATGGGTCATTTTTGCATCATCTACGTCTAAATAATGATAATGTACAAGTATCTAAGAAAATGTTTCTCGCAACATTAGATATCAAAGAAAAAATGACTTACAAATGGATTCTTAATAGTTTAAATCACGCACTATCTAACCGAACATAAGTGGAAAATAACGCGAAAACTTTAAAACGAAGTCGCTCTAGATATTTAGAAGATATAAATAACCAAATCCAATTTTTAAAAAAAAAATTTGATCTTCTTCCAAAGATGGATTCACATTATTGCCGAAAGGATTCTCATAAAAAATATCTAGAACATTATTTTCAAACTCAGGCCGAAGTTTATAAAACTTATGAAAAAAATGCGACGAGGAAAATCAAAAGGTTGTTTCAATTACAACTTTCAATAAACTTTTCCATGATTTAAATCTGGCTATACATAAGCCGAAAAAAGATCAATGCGATACCTGCCTTCAGTACAACGCTATACAACTCAGCCAAGAAGATTATGAAACACACATAAAAAGAAAGAATTTCGCTCAAGAAAGTAAAGCAAAAGATAAAGAGGAAGCAATTAAAAAAAATCAGTACACTTTTACTATGGATGTACAATCTGTAAAGTTGTGCCCTATGATAGAAGCTAGTAAAGTTTATTACAAAACTAGGCTACAAGTTCATATTTTCACTATTTTCAACTTATGTACCAATTATATTTGGAACGAAACTGAGGCAGATTTACAAGCATCTGTGTTTACCTCATGTATTGTACACCATCTTGAAAAACATTGCCTAGAAGAAAAAAGGAAAATTGTTATTTATTCAGACGGCTGTGGGTACCAAAACCGAAATACAACACTCTCAAATGCACTCAGTTTTTTTTCGTCCAAATATGATGTTATTGTGGAGCAAAAATATCTTGAAAAGGGTCAGACATAAATGGAGTGTGACTCCACTCATGCTCTTATTGAACGGAAACTGAAAGGCCGGGAAATAACTCTTCCTTATCAGTACGCCCAGATCATCCAAGAGGCTCGCAAGAAACCTTTCTCATTGGATGCGGACTATCTTAATTACACATTTTTTCGTAAGTATGATGATAGGAGTTTAATACGATTTGAGTCAACTAGGCCGGGAAAGTGATCCCACTGTCACCGATTTGCGCTGCCTAAAATACTCGCCAGATGGAGTAATTCATTATAAAATAAACTATGAACATGAGTATAAGGTTTTGCCTCAGAGGGTTAAGCTACCTTTGTTAAAAAAAAGACAACAACATTTAAACCGTTATTGTCTAAAAGACTTCCAATTAAACATACCAAATATCAGCATTTGCAGGACTTAAAAACTGTAATCAAATATGAAGAAGCTCATAATATCTATGATCACCAACGGAAAAGAAAATTAAAGAAACCAGAAAAAACGTTTAATATTATAATTAATTCAGTTTAGTTTTTTTTGAGCATTTAGTGTTCTTTTTTTGACAAAAACTAATAACCAATAATATGTTTCGTTCTATTTAATATTGACAAAGCAACGTAGCTGTTTATAATAGTTTATTTAGTTGTGCTTAAATGTTTTGTAGTTACGGAGTTGTAGTTTTCATTTTATATAATTGAGTTGTCGAATAAAAGCAATAAGTTGATTTAAATTGACTTATTTATTAACCTATTCATACTAAATCCCAGATCAGTTTCTTTTACCCAAAAAATTATAGCTTAAGTTTAAAACGAAATCCCCGTGATGTGATCATAGAAAGGTGTATCCCACTTATCCCTAGGATTTCACAAAAGTTAAAAAAGCGTAACCAACATAATGTCTAGGTACAAAAAGACGTAATGCACAACGTCAAAATTTTATAACGTCGTATCCCACTTCGTAAATTCAAAATGCTTCTACACCAAAATGATGCTTCAATACAAGATTTCTTATATCTACTATTGAGTCATTTTAGAAAAAACAATAAAAAATTTCAAATCTTTCAACAACATATAAATAGTTTTTTATGTCTCCTGCAAAACACTTGTCACTGGGGATACGACCTGTTAGAGTTTAGCCATCGATATAAGCAATGCCAGTAAGAGAGATTATAGTCTATAGTTTTAAGTTATAGTTTTAAATCAATTAGGAACAATTCTGAAACAAAATATAGTCAATATTTAAATTGATAAGGCTGTTTTCGTTCATTCAAAATGAGTAATACACATGCATCAGCATGCAAGAGCCATCAGATGTCAATCGGTTTCGTAATGGCGTATAAACTAATGACCTGTTCGAAAACACTCTTTCTAACTTTGCTGACAAGACATGGCGAATTTAGAACGTATTTCTTCTGCTGTCCAAAATACGAGAAGTTTTATTACGTTATATAAAATGATAAGATAGCGCTTTGATAGCCGCATGTGAATAAAAATTAACTTACCCGTGCGATTTTAAGTGACATATAGGTAACTGAATTAGATCACCTTTTTAAAGGTACAGCACTCACCGAACTATTTTGTTTCATTTTGGAATAAAATGAACCCTTGTTCAGTAATTATCTTATTTTAATTAATGTTTTGACGTTTGTGACTTACCCTAGCCTCTAGAATTTATAAAATTGACACGATAGAAAGATGAAAGCAGTACAACTTACGAAATAGCTGAAATAAGAGTAATAAGTTGCAACAAGTTGCAGTTAGCTATGGTTGCCAGTTACAAGTAACAATTAGCTACAATTGTCGGTCACAAGCTGTTGCTATAATTGCGCCTTAAAAGAGACAATTAGCGACAATTATGAGTTACAAATTGCAGTTAAATAACTACCAGAAACATTCAGCTATTTCATTTAGCTATTATTGTCCCATACAACTTGAAATTAACTAAGTGAGAATAGTAGCTGATTGGCATTTATAAATGACAGTTACAGCTAATTGTAACGTATAACTGGTGGTTATAGCTGACTGGAACTTGTAAGAACCATTATAACTTTCCAGATTATAACAGACAATTAAATAGTTTAATACAACCAGCATCCACGAGGAGGCTAGGAGAGAGTCACCCCCTTAAAACCTCACTGGAAAAGGAAAAATACGGAACTTCAATAATATTCTTTGTACCCCCCGCGCTCTTTAATTTCCAATCGTCGAGACCTTCCGTTCTTAGAAGGACTGATACAGACCTCCGACTTTCTCCCCCCGTTCTCAGAAGTTCCTCGATCCATCCTCATGCGATTGACAGTTGAAGTTTAACTCTGGAATACCATGAAACTTATTTTTAGAACGCCTAAATTATTTATTACAGAGTCATGTAATGACACTTGATGATAGCCGACTAATATTCCTAACCACGCTTTCTGGGACCAAGACTAGAGACGACTTCCTCTCTGTCGAGATACCCGGAGGCTATCACTGCCAAAGAGCCATTCATTTCGGCTGGTCGGAGTCCAGATCACCGAGGACCTGATCTGGCACGAACACATCCCGTCAATAGCGGCTGAGTTTCTCTGGTCGAAAGATATCCGTCGTAACTGACGTCAACGCGGTTATTCCCCAGGGATCGGTCTTGCCTCCGATATTGTTTCTCTTGCACATCAAGGACCTCCTTTCCTGTACGATCCATTCAATCCACAGCTTTACTGATGACATCACTCTACATGGAGGAATTCAGAGTAACAAGCCAAATCTCCAATCTCTGCCGGTGAGCTGGAGGAAACAATCCTTGCTTGGGGTCGCAAAAACCTTGTGCGCGTCCTAGCGCTCATTCAGTTTCGGCTAGGCTATTTGTTTAGGGCTAAGAAGTACTATTCTCCACAAGACCGCGTTACTCTATACAAGGCCCAGATAAGATCTTGCCTTGAATATTGTTCACATGTTTGAGTTGTTTCCGCCCCGACTACATTATGCAAGCTCGATGCTGTTTAGAGGAAGGCTATCCGACTGATTGATGACTCTTCTCTAACGGACTGTCCAGAGACCCTTTCGCACCGGCAGGCCGACGGCGATCTAGCCCTCTTCTATCGCTATGCCGATGGGCTTTGCTCCTCAGAGCTCTCCTCCATGATGCCCCGTGATCTACCTGTCAGACAGACCCTTCAGACTCCTATCCTAACCGTGTCGCACTTCGTACGTACAGAACTGGCCGATACGACCGTTTCTTTGTCCCTAGGGTATCCAGATTGTGGAACAATCTACATCAGGAGGCTTTTTTCAGTTCTTCTTAGGCAGTTCAAAAATCGGATTAACAATGTTTCTTGAAGCTCCTGTATCTGTAACTATCAATTGTAGCTAATTGCAACTTGTAAATGAGAATTCTAACTAATTCCATCTTGAAACTGATAATTATGAAAATGGAATATTTTACTGACGATGTTCTTTTTATAGATTTGTAATGCTTACCCAACCATCCCTTCCTATGTTCCCCAATGCAAAGCTGCAGCTCAGCTGCAGGCATGATGTACCCTAAGATGGTGATCTCCGAGCAATCAGCTGCCAGGCCAAGCCCGAGCGCAATCGCCAGCAACAGCTGCGCTTTCCCCGTTGCAGCTTGAGACAGCGCGTCTTCGTGAAAGCCGACCAATGCTTCTCCGTTGCCGCTGGACAGGTTCTGGTGGCCCACACCGATTGTAACACCAGTTGGTGATGAAACCGAGAACGATGCTGGGGAAATTATTCCACATTAAATAAGAAAAGGTATGTGTAGAACAGGACTACTTTTGTACCGACGTTTGTTTAGGCTAATATACAATTGTAGAAATTGGTCTAGAGTCAGCGCAGTAATCGCAGGATCATGTTCAGGAAAATGTTCGTTCTGGGAGGGTTGGGTTTCGGCGCACGTCTCCACAATGAGGAAGCTACCTATTTTTTGAATATTTGTTGAAATAGTAGTCCAAGTAAAGTGAAGTATAGCATTGAGAACATTTTTTGTTATCTTAGTGAATGACAAGTTACACTACCCAGAAGTTTCTTATTTCGAGAACTATTTTGTTGGAATATCAGACTGGGCGATGATGTCACATGACACAAGCTACCATTGCTACCACAAAGCGATGTACCCATCGTGCACGCTTCATGATATTAACAAATGTTATTTTTCTCCGCATTTATGATTTACAGTAAAAACGGTTAAAAAATGTGTCAGTCCATCGACTTATAAGTACTGTATTATACCTAAGTGTACAAATACAGGCATATAAGAAAAACATGTGCCAAAAGAATAAAAGATAAATTAGAAGAAAGTCCAATTCAAAGTTATTCTATTGGGATTCTTGAATCCGAAAGACTAAAACAGACTAAATTTCATGCAAATCTCAACATGATGGTGAATGATTATAACTGTGTTTGACGATATGTCATATGACAGAAAAATCAACACTCACTCTATGTGAAGTCGGCCCGAGTTGCGTTCATCTAAGCTAATTTAAATCTCATTTGTTAACGGCTGCAGGTTCTCAACGTTTTCATAAATAGTGGACATACGGACATGGGGTTACCTTTTCATCCTAGCATTGTGTTGGTCCAGGATTTTTTTATGTGGCAATTTAAATTTGAAAATGTAGCACACTTACGTCTAGTTGGATGTAAATAGGCATGCAACGGTCTCGCAATGTCATCGTTTGACAACCAGATTTATACCCTCATATATCGCAGCTTGCGAAGCTTCGAGAGTGGTTGCATTCACGTGCGTGAACACTTGCATCGCTATCTGGAAGGAATCCAGTTTTTGCCAGAAAATGATGGAAAGCATCGGGAACAGTCAATTCACCACATAAACCCCCGACCAGATGACGGAAGCAGTTAGTCACAGTCAAGTCAAGACAGTCGAAGGGAACGGCACGGGTATTATGTAAAAAAACTATAAATGTCAAAGAAACCTATAAGATATCATCTAGGTAGTTTTTAGGGTACAAACTGTCATTCCACGTTTGCTCACTAGGATCGTTGTGAGCGCGATCTAAAGCGTCCATCTATGGAGGAGTGAATGAACGGCATGCTTGCCTCTTTCCAAGTATGCATTGTTGGTTGCAGACAGCTACTTTGTAGACAAATTATTGTAGTGTTTAATTTGTGAAAGAACGAGAGTTTGGTTGAGTAGCAGCAAGGCCGCATCTGGATGATTGTTTTGGTCCGCATGTGTATAAAATCTGTGATATTTGCTACGTGAGAAAATTATTACTGACTATACTGCCAATGAAGGTTATCTATTAGCTGCGCCAGATGAGTTATTTGTCTTGTTCTTTCTGAAGAGAGGTCATGTTCAAAGCTATACATTACGATTTGTCGAAAAACCTACATACCTGTAATGTAAAAAACAGTATAATGTCAAAAAAATCAATATGCCACTATTCAAGATACATAATACCCGTGCGGAACGGAATGCCGTAGTACAGTCAATATGGTGATAAATTGTCATATATTAATATGAGTGTTATAAATTAGTGTAAAAGTAATAAATTCGACTTTGGAGAGTAAAAACGGTGTTTTAGTGACAATAAGTTTTCAGTCCAGGAGTCCATATATCCTAAAATGTCTATTATTCAAGATACATAATACCCGTGCGGAACGGAATGCCGTAGTACAGTCAATATGGTGATAAATTGTCATATATTAATATGAGTGTTATAAATTAGTGTAAAAGTAATAAATTCGACTTTGGAGAGTAAAAACGGTGTTTTAGTGACAATAAGTTTTCAGTCCAGGAGTCCATGTATCCTAAAATGTCTATTATTCACTGACAAATATTAGCTCCGCCAGTTATACATAAGCATATTGTACATAAGCGACCGTTTATTCTTAAGATTGATCCAGAACCGACGCTTGCAAAAGTAGCTCGAAAGATTTTTGAATCATCGACTAGACGTGCTTGTGCCTATCGTTGTACTAGTATCTATATACTACAGAATTTGCATCCTTTCACTTTTGAGATTATCCCATTAAATGATATTATCTAATTATTGAAGAAAAATAAAGACTAGAATGGAATGATTTCGGCCACTTTGACCAATGCAGATAAACCTGGGCTTGAACCCCTTAGACAGATTGGTTTATGCACTTTCTTATTCTCAACCTTTTCATACTTCTTGGATAAACAGTGTGGTTCAAGAAACAATGGCAATATTTTAAAGACAAAGAGTACGTAGAAAAATTGAGCGTAGAGTTTTTATAAGCATGAGCCGCTGTACCAATACAGGGTTTAGAAGCTGTTTACGAAATTGGGAAAGAATTGTATTTCCGGAAAGGTAAATATTTTAACGTATTTTCATACTTGACTCAAACTTTGTTATTAGCATATAACATGGGATGTTTCTATTCTTACAGAAGGAGAAAGAAAAACATTTAGTACGCCATAAACTTGTTTAAAATAATTTTTCATTAACTGTCTCATAAGAAATGTGTTTTATACTACTTATGTTCTTCTGAAATATGATAAAATCAATTTTTTGCATTCAACTTGAGCATCAAATCTGATATACTTCCTGCGATGTGGAAGTTATCCAAAGTGGGTACTGTTTTCAAAAGTGATAACTATCGACTAATTTCTCTCATATGCATTTCTGCCAAGGTCCTTGAAACAATCCTGCATAATCGCTTGTATCCTTCAATAAGAAATACGAGTATAAATCTCACAGCGGCAGCACAGTTTTATCGATAGTCGATCCACTGTTGCGAACTTGGTTATTTTAACTCAGTGCAATATCAGAAGCACTGGATGGTAAGTGTCAGGACTATGTCATTTATAAGTACAAATTTTTCAAAGACCTCTGACAAAATTAATCATGGAGCCTTGGAAGAAGTTAGGGTACTACTAACAGTACTATAAAATTCTTTAGATCCTATTTATCAGGGCGTAAGCAATACATAACATAGATAACGTGCTCAAACCCGAAGCATACTCAGCTCCATCTAGTGTTCCCCACGGTCTAACTTGGGACTACATTTTACTTCTGTTGCTTATTAATTACCTCAGTGGAAATCTGAAATGTATGCAATTTGGTTTTGCTGTTTGGATTTATAGATAGAGTTGAATAGTCTACATCAGTCACAAATACCAACAACTGCAAGGTTGTATAGTAGGGAAAAATCCTTCATATCTTAATATTAATGGTTGTTGGATAGATGTGATACAACCAAAGGATCATGACCAAAGATTGGCATCTGCTCCCGATATTTCTCAAAAAGTTTCAGAAGCGCTTAATTGATACGGTTTCCTTGTCAGGAATTGTAGGCAATTTTACGACATGGGGGCCTTGAAGGTAATATATTTTGCATATATGCGAAGCAAACTTGAATATGGAGCCTGTATTACCAAAATTATATAAACAAAATTGAATGGGGTCAAGAAAGGTTGCTTCAATGTCTTTATTTGAAGTTTATCCTGAGCAAGGAGTTAGTAATGCATAGCTGTGTGGGCATTTTAAAATTCAAAGCTTAGAGTTCGGAAGAAAGGTTTCATATGCCATATTTTTTTCGAACTATTACATAGCATAATCGTCCCAGCTATTTTAGCGCAAATTAATACTAATGTACCTCCGTTTTCTGCACACAATTATTGTCACTTTTAAAACATCTAGAGCAAGGTCCATCATTTTGGTCAAGTTACCTCTGCATAGAGTTAACTGTCATTGCGATATATTAATATCTTATCCCTTAAGTGTAGCTAGGATGGCTTGTTATACTTAAATTGACTAATTTCTTTCCAAACCCTGTCATAGACTACCAGTTTATTTTGTTCATGTAATTGTCCTTTAATCGGGTAACTGTTAGATACGTAATGCTATTATTATTACTATTATCATTATTGCATTAAGAATGCCGGAGAAGTAATGCCACCTTGTCACGACGTTACTTGAAGGGTATGCAATGCCTTTATTGGCATAGAAATCTAGAACATCATGTATACCGGCAGGGCACAGAACCTATGCCCATAGTAGGTATTTATGTAATTTTTAAGACCACTTTCTAGTCTATAAAGAATGTTGCTTTTGTTGAATAATCTTGCATAGTAACTGAAAAACAAATGACGTTAAAGATTGTTAGTGGCACGCCTTGCCTCTTTTCTAAACAGCTGGCAGCCCCATTCATAAAAATCAATGTTTAGGTATGAGCGGACCTCTTCAACTGTCCCTGAACTCCCCACTCTGCGAGACGTCACGGAAATTATTTTCAGAATTGAATATAATGGAGTTGCTCGCTAATTGTCCAATTAAATTAACTACCATTTCGCTGGAACGCGAACTACTAACTTCCAGTTCAGAAACCACTACTGTTTATCATGAATATTGTACACGTTACGCAACAGTATTTATTGTGTCGTGGAAATAAAACGTTTGGGTAGAACAAATGTTCACCCGATCAAAGCTCCGTACATTATAAATGATGGACTAGTGACTTTATTGGCACTTTGGATGCTACGGCAACCTTTTACAAAAATAACTGACTCAAGAAATAACTTCGCAGTAAATGATATGAAGAAAATATTTGCGTTAAAATGATTGACGCTACTGAATATTGTTCTTTAGCTCATTATAATTAGGGTTATTCCATCCCTAGCTATTTAAATGAGCTTAGTGTTTCCTATAGACGCTATCATGTGAGGCCCTGATGGGTGGTAATCCGAAAAGCTTGAAGTAGAGGGCGCTAGTGAGGTTGGACGTCAAAAC